CGCGTTATGCTTAGCAACACCAGCAAACACGACCGACTTACCCTAAACTACATTCCCTAAACGACCAATAGGTTCTGCCTCCGTGGTGTAGTGCTTAGAGCGTCCGCCCGGAGAGCGGAAGGTCGCAGGTTCGATCCCCGGCCAAAAGACTTTAAAATATGGTACTTGTTCCCTGCCTGGCGCTTGGCATTAATGGGTACAACAAGGACTGGTCGGCTCGGAGTCAGTATAATGTGTCTGAGTGGGGTATTCATGCTTCACTGCGGCATGGTATCTCAGTGGGCTAGCACTACAAAACCAGGTCAAGTCTGGGCTAGTACAAGCAGCCACACACACGCGCATGCACGTCGTCATATGAGCGAAATATTATTAAGTGCCACGTTAAACACCATTTCACCTCACCTCACCAATAGGTTCTAATGGTGGGACCTCATAAGCCAACATAGGTTCTGATGTAAAGCAATGTTTCTTTTGGGAATGCAATTCTTGACGTTGAAAATACCTGAGAATAAAGGAACCATGTAGACTTTTCAAATTCCATAATGACCACATTTTTGTTTGCCGATAATCACACAGGATATAAGTGAGTGAGTTGGGTTTTCCGCCGCTTTTAGCAATATTCCAGCAATATCACGGACACCAGAAACATGCTTCACACATCTTGTGGGGAATCGAACCCGGGCCTTCAGCGTCACGAGCGAACGCTTTAACCACTAGGCTACCCCACCGCCCCACACATGATATAAGGTGCGAGCCCAATATGACACTGCCTCAGGTTATTACCTTGCTGACCATGCCACCTCTATGAGTGAAACAAACATCTCAAAGCGTTATTGAAACAGCATACATTGTTGACAAGAAGAAAAACATATGACCATAAACCTTCTATCTATCATGACAATTAAATATACATGACACGTTATGAAACGATAGGGTTGTTTCTAAGCCAGACAGCAAAAGCATTCACTTAACACCATATAGTTGGGAGGAAAATAATTTTTTGAATCTTGTACAATGATCATTAAACACGCGTCAAAGAACTTCAAACTGGTGGTGTGGGTATTCACAGAAACGTAAGGTTAGGAAGGTAGTTTATGCAAGACCACGGCATGGTGTGAGCTTGGGGGAAGAGAGCCCTCTCAGACATGGTAGCTTGGCGGACCTCAGTCCCGGCGTGGGCAGAACTAACTGTGTAGTTCAAACTGATCGATACCAACACGACGCACCATTTCCTGCAAAATAAGAAACAGCGTGTGTGTGGTGTCAGCCTTACATGTAATAGCTTAAAGCTGTAATTGGGATAAACATATTTATTTAAGTTTATTTAATTACCACACATTTTCGCGAATACCTGGTATGATCTCTATTTGATCATGGATTCACAAACACATGCTGACGGTTTAAGTCTAATGGAATCTGCTTCAAGCAGAAATGAATTAGGTTTTGTCGCTATATTTAAAAGAATTCTAAATTCGCTGAGTGGGTGGAGAAGTAGAGACGGAAGTAATGTTATACCACACTTGGGCCTCTTCGACCACCCCCGCACACTCACGTCCAGGTCTCGCGATAGCTTGCATTGGCTGCAGAAACAGGTAAAGTGCACTCAGTGCCAAGGTTGAAACACTGTAAGAATATATCACACTTTTTCTATGCTGTGTTGACAGCCAACTGTATTATATAAATTAGCATGTCTGCGAAAGAGATGCATCTTCAGCTTAATCCCACAATAGAAATCGTGATGGCGTTTCTGACTGAGTTTCAAGATAAGGCTCCTCGTTTTCTCGTACTTACTTTGACGCCGTGGATCTGTATTCTACAGACGAATGTAGGCTATTTCAGCAATTAGTTTCTAATGTTGTTGTTACGTGTATGACTGTTACAAACAGTTCTCTCGATTGTTGGGGCATATGTTACTCAGTCTTCAGGGCACCATATGTAACACCTCTGGCGCTTTTTAAACAACACGGGTCGTATTGGCGTACAAAGAATGGGTGTTCTTCTTCTCGCAGTATAACTATGTCAGGTAGAGCGAGCAGTTTACACGGAGTCCGACAGACACTACAAGGGTAAGGCAGCAAAGTGAGGCTGACACTGGGTCAGCAGATTGGCCGGATTGGCTAATGTTCGTCCCTCCTTGTCCCTGGCCTTCCTTCTTCTGGTCTGTCCGCCTCCTTCCCGCTGTCTGTCAGATCCCCATTGTTGCCTATCCTGACTGCGTTAATGGCAGATAAACGATTAACAGACAGCTTAGCTGGTCACATATTTACTAGCTTAACTAATAATGTTACACATAGGCCTGAGCTTAAGACATAAACATATGATCCAGGGGCTCCTTGCACGAAGCAACCTTTACTAAGGTTAACCATTCTTTAACATTGCACTAAGGTTACCATAGTGACTTACGATCACCTTAGTGCTTTGTGAAAGGAGACCCTGAGTTAGAAACCCTGCTCGTCTCAATTATGTTTCCCGATTTGCCACCACCATACCCATGCTCGTCGGCCATTGGAAATTGGAAACAATATCTGTCAATAGTAAAAGGTCCTTACGGGCGGTACCAGACTGGATGGAAAATACGTTTGAAGTGAAAAACCTAGGAGACCTGCATGGCTTCAGGCTATCTCCCAGATCAAGCAGAAATGCCTGACTGAAATGGAATACTGTTGAAAGGAGCCTTAGCCTCAACTCACTTACATGCAACACCCCCGGGCATTATGCTGGTCATTGGCAAAAGGTCTTTAAGGACGGTACGAGACTGGACTGAAATTACCTTTTTTAGGTACATTATTGTACTTTGGAACCTGACTTTCCTACAATATACAGGACGAGATCTTACTCTATTATTGGTTAATGGAATACACTCAGTCATGTATGTTTTATGGTTATTTGATCATTCTTAAAAGTATATTATATAGGGGAAATGAGAGTGGGTTCACTTCAAAGACGCTTAGGGCCAAGTGGTGGGATATAGCTTTGTGATTAGCGCTTCCGCTCCTCGCACCGATGACACGGGTTCGATAAACCCCGTGGGTACAAAGTGTGAAGCCCATTTCTGGAGTCGCCCTCAAAGACGCCTAATACATGCAGTACGTAAGCACGGACAATGAGCGAGAAATGTAACAGCGGACTGTAGAGTTTGTTCCCGTAGGCATTCTTCGTTCGTTTTTTTGACGGAGGCATTTTAACCTTTTACAGAGAATCTGACAGATTGGCACCAGGAAGTAGAGATGCTTCTTAAGAACCCTTGCTCATGTCCTTGAGCTGGATTAACGCCGTTTTGGAGTTATTCTATAACATTAGCATGGGAAGACGGTTTTAAATGACAAACTGGTTGTGGTTATGATCACATTGTCGTTGCCCAAGCTCTAGTACTTATAGACATTTTAAAATAGGAAATTAAAAGAATGATGGTGTAGCAGACATTTAATATTATGTTTAATCATGGTGGAAAAAACAGCACCTTCACACCAACAAGTGGGTTAGTCATTAGATATCAGGGGCGGTGGGGTAGCCTAGTGGTTAAAGCCTTCGCTTGTCATTACGAAGACCCGGGTTCGATTCCCCACATGGGTACAACGTGGGAAGCCCATTCCTGCTGTCCCACCGCCGTGGCATTGCAGGAATATTCTAAAAGCGGTCTAAAACCAAACTCACTCACTCACACTCATTACATATCATCACAGTAAATATGTGGGACTATTTTCCAAGCAATTAATATAAAATGTAAATTTCCCCAGCAAACATTGCTTGTTGCTGGTTTTATGGATCGTGTGGTCAGGCTTATTTAATTCCCGTCACCGAATCCTGACGGTGAGGACCGTTGCTCATAATATCAATCACTGGTTTAGCTAGTATTGACTTGACTGGAGCTGAAACACATCAAATTGAAAAGTAAAAACAATTGTCAAGCAGTATAGACATGCCTCTACTTATTCGACAACCCCTACAACACTACTACACTGTTAGGGGGTAAATCTGGCATCAGTGTTGAACTAATTGATCAGTGACTTTTTTCTTTGATAGTTCGGTACTGTTTGATCACAAAGCTGAATTCTCCCTCGGTTAATCAACCTGGAGGTTATTTCCAGAGTAGGGCAGTCTGGTACTTATCCGACAAAGAATACACGAGGACCATGTGGTCAGTTGCAATATGTCTGAACTCTGATATAGCCTGCATGGTTGACCATCTGGACCGTGACCCCAAGTCCGACCTGTCTGTAGTAGACATCTGTGATGTCACGACGTGATTCTCACAGATCTGAACCTCACTTTATAGCAACTGTCAATAACGAGACTGGTTTGGTTGAAGTGAAAGTAAAATGCACGCGTGCAAGCGTCCGTTTGTGGTTGCTTGAAAAATGCCATGTAATTTTTTAAGCCTCCCTAAATTCAATGCCCTGGTTTAGCAGTATTGCCTTACTCAGGCATAGTATTCCTAGTCGGGGCCGACCAGTTCTTGTCCATTAAAAGCCGACCGTCAGACGGGTATAGCCAGTATCATCGCACAGCATTGGTCAGGTATCACATTCCAATATGACGCTGAGTTGTGCAGCGCCGTACTCGTGCTAAGTTTCGCGCAGAAACAATCTGCTTATTTTCATAAGACCTGCATAACTTTCCTCTGACATTTAGCTGGGTGGGATAGCTCAATGGTTAAAGCGTTTGCTGGTCACACGAAAGACAAGGATTCAATTCCCCACATGGGTACAATGTTTGAAGCCCGTTTCTGTGGCGCTGTGTGGTCCTCCGCATAAAGCTCTGGTCACAAATCAGTTGAAGTTAAGCAACTTGAGGCGCGGAGAGTGATTGGATGGGTGACTGTTTGGCAGCTTGATTCCTGAGAGTATGGAAAATTGCCTCTGTTCATACAACAGATAGTGGGTACCCGGTGGGATAAGTCATGTAACTATTAACCTTCTAGCGCCTCACAGGCAGCTTGGGTTATCCTGGGTAATAATAATAAGATTATATTTGTTAGCATTCGCTTGGTAAAGTGTAAATGCACTTATTATCATTTATTGCAATGCTAATATTTCTGGTGTCCTCCACGGTGACATTTATGGAATATTGCTTAAAGCAGCTTAAACCATATTCACTCACATTTAGTTTATAGGCCCGCAAATACGTCTGACATATTGTTCAACTGGATCACAAAGTCAATTCATTCACAAAGATATTAATGTCATTTACAAAATCCAAGAGATGTTTTATTTCATTCATTGGCAACAGACTCTGCACAGTCAGTCCGGAATGTGCTGGCAGTGCGGGTGTTTTCTCTTCATTGCTCCTCTCAACAGTCCTCCTATAGTCCTCGCGTCTTCTGTTGAACAGTCCTTAGATCGAGCGAGTCTACGTTGTATACAAGCTGGGTAGTCACTAAAAGTAACACAAATCTACACTGAAATATATTCGACTTATTTCGAGACGTACAGGTCCCACTTGCACAAAGCGATCTTAGCGCTACAATGATTGTAACTCCCATCCTCCAACATAGACTTAAGATAGTCGTAGCGCTAAGATCGCTTTGTGCAAGTGGGCCCAGGTGTTGTCGCGTCTCGGAAATCATATTCCGTCATGTCTTCGATACCTGAAGGGAGATAACTCCGCATGACGTGTGTGACAGTCGGAATATGCTATCTAATTATGCAATCTCGAAGAGATGTACTTGCTAAGATAACCGTGTAAACATATGAACATCATATGTATTGTCATAAAGAAGTTGTATATCCATAGAACTGCCTCCTTGTTCACCACACCAACTTCTAAACGCCACTCAAAGAAAATACTGACATAGTTCTTGACCATCTATTAGTCATTCACGATTATTTTTTTCAGGGTTCTGATTGTGAATCCAGAACATTGTCATAAATATTTTTGAAAGCCCAGTCTGGAATCAAAGTCGACTTTTTGCAACCTGTGCCTAATTACGACTTCCTGTTAATCCATTCATTAGTCAGTCCAAGTTAAGAATTTAGACCATGTTTTAATGCTATAACAACCTATCACAGTATCAGAAACCTGGCTTCTATTATTGGGACATAGGAAATGACGCAGGGTCAATAAACGTTGTGTTTTATGTCCAGCGTCTAATTAGAGGAAATACGTAATGTGAATTATGCTTCTGATGGAAAGCAATGAAACTGCAACTTGACACTGTTGTTAGTTATGAAGCGAATCTTTGGGAAGTACTTAAGGATGAATATGAGAGCATGGCAGAGGCTCCAGAATCCTTGTTTCTATTGGTAAAGTCTGTGATAAGTGTAGGTATTAATACTTAGTCCCTTAGTTATGGGTAGTTCCATAGCTTCTGAATGCCTTATGAAGTTCAGAAAAAAAAACCTTTTACAATGCCTGAAGCACCTAGTGTCACTGTATCCTTCACAGAAATTTACTGAGAATTGACTGCCAAGCTTCAGGATACAGACTATGTTAGAGAACAGGACACCTTTCATAAGGCTTTCTTTTAGTTTCTATTTCTTCTGCATATGACTTTGTCCTACGCATGGAAAGTCATTCTGATGACTTTTACCAGGAACAAATTGCAAAATTTCAAATCATTTTGCGAGCAGTGAACAAATGGTGAAGCTAAATCACTATCAATATGTTGTGGGTTTGAAATACAGGGTCAGAATTAAAATCATTTAATAAAAGAAATATTCCCACCTCACTCATTGGGATTCCAGCTGAACCTCATTTGAATTTTGATCCAACCCAAGGCAGATGAGTTCATCTCCATCAAGAAGTTGCCTTTGGCAGCCTCCTACCTGTGTCAGGTAAGGTAGCATCCATTTGATTGTCATGGTGGATGAGGGTGTGGGAAGAGACAGGGTGAACAAAATAAATAGTCATGTTTGCGTAAAATGTGAAAAAGGTTAGACTGTTTATGGGCTCCTAAATATAGGGTTGTTGGATACAGCTGAGAAAAAATAGTTTGTTCTCAATCCACCAATATAAATCAAATGGATGCTTCCTTAGGCTTACTTCCCTCACTGAAAGCTGATCACTGCCATGTGAATGAATCAATAGAACAGCGCTGACCACACATCACTCACTCACTCACACCTACCTGCACAAGCCTTCATCAGCCTTGTGGTTTTCCTTAATGCACTGAATTAAGATGTGGGTGAAGTCGTTACTCTGTAAGCATTCCTCAGCTTCAATGAAATCTACAAAACAATAATTAATAACATATTTTATCAGAGGATCTTGAGCCTAATAATAACGGGCTAAGAAAAAGAAACACCCTCCCATGTTATATTAGAGGACAGTCTAAAATGGGTCAGTTTGGCTCACAGGGCTACATCTGTGACATCAACTGCTAATGATAAAAATAACAGTAATTGGGCCATTTATACATGTTTTAGGCTACATTCCCACACCATTCAGGGGCATGCTCAAGGTGCTATAATAGTATTACCCTGGTTAATGGATAAGTGTATGCTGGACTCTCATACTCAGTCTAATGACCGGCCTCTTGGCTACAGCCTGGAACAAGTCAGTCTGGAGCTGGCAAACAAGTGACAGACAGAATGAACAACTACCAACTACATCTGCATCAACTGCTGGCAGTCAACCAGGTCACCCAGTAGTCAGTTGCTGATCCAACTGAGTACCCCTCTATTCAGTCGCCCACTGCAATCAACATTCCTTGGATCAATTCTAATCCAGAATCCCAAGGGGGTAAGGTCATTGTAATTCTGGATGAGCACTCACTCTGCCAACCACTACCTCCCTTTGGGACATTACATATAAAAGGGCATAGCCTGGCTCTTAATTGAGGAAATGTGTATAACAGGGCGAGGTAAAAGACTTACCATGTTTTCTGTCACAGATGTAGTGGTAGGCGAAGTCAAACAGACGGAGGTGGTTGTCCTTGTCCCCACACTGGAAGCTGACCCTCTTTGTACACAGCTCCACCTCTTCCCTGTACTCATCACTGAAGTAATAACACACAGAAGACCAGTTTTTTGTAAGTGGGGTATGTGTGTTTTCAGTTATTACTTTTGAAGAAATATGTATAAGGAATAGTATTTTGGGGACCCTTGTCTCCAGGGTACACTATTTGACATGTAGTGTTAGAAACCTTTCAGAATTTCCCACTAGACCACAGGACCAGTGTGGGGACAATAATTGGTGATCCTGTCTACTTTAACTGGTCCAAAATAACATTCGTAGTTGTACTTAACTATCACTACTATTATATTCATTTGAACTTTTAACATATTTTACATTTTTAAAATATTCACTGGCCACCAGGAACATTGCTAAGTTATCATTTAGTGGTCCTGATGAATTTTTACTTGTCAGGGACCACAACTGTCGCACACTGATGTGCAATTTTGTTTCCTTTAAACAGTGGCTTTGTGAATTATATTAATCCCACCAAAAGCCTGAAATTCAAATGGTTGCTCTGAATGTTATCATGAAGTAATATAAACATGAGTGAGTGAGATTAGTTTTAGGCTGCACTTAGCAATATTCCAGCTACATGGCACGGTCTGTAAATAACCAAGTCTTGACCAGATAATCCAGTCATCAACAGCATCAGCATCATCTAGGCAATTGGAATACCATGACATGAGTCATCCTAGTCAGTCACCTTGACCCCCGATCATTGGTCTCTTATGACAAGCATGGGTTACTGGAGATCAATTCTAACCGGGATCTTCAATATAAACCTGATCACTGAATGAAATGTTGACTACAGTTTAAACCTGGATGCTCTGAATGCCTGTCTGTCAAAGTCGGACTTGGCTCAGTAATATGGTTAGAGAAATAACAGATGGAACAAAAAGTCAATCATGAAACATCAGTAATGTTGAACAGAGGCAGTGAGTGAAGGATTGGGGTTCGAAAACAAGATTTATCTCTACAGCAAATTGCCTCTGATAGAATTACAGAATTTTTTGGGTGTCAATTTGTTGAAGTGAAAATACTCACAGCACTTAAATTTAGATTATCAAGAAGAAAAATCTCCGCGAATCAATAAATATATTCACTTCAATATCACATGTGCTATTTATGTGGTGGAAGTTTATGACCCGGATTTTAAAAAAATTAATCCATTACATTTTTTTTATCAAATTATTCGCCATCGTGGTATTTTATGACTGCTTCACATAATGTCGTTACTGCTTGATAAGGTCGCGAACCCACAAAAACTGACATTTTGAGGCTGGGCTCACATTAAACTGAAAGTTTGCTATGAATGGGCCCTTGATATTGCGTTAACTGGTCATTGTGTCTCTAACTAAATTACCAATGTGTTCAATGATAAATCTGATAAATTATAAAGTTTACTAGCTACAATAAGCAATTTCTTTTACCAATGTATATAATGATTTAACGATCACTTTTAAACTCATCGTATATTTCTGTATCAAACCCATGCCAGTAAATATATACCATTAGTTCCCCGTAATGTTAATTACATATGTCTTGAAAAAATATATGAAGCAAGTTTTTTACACACCTGCAATCTAGCCGCAGTTTCTCATCTGACACGATCGACCTGAAGTCTCCATTCATGAACACCATGTGCACTACCTCCGTCATGTTGGCGCACTTTTGGGACTGGGCTTCACACGTGCCGCTGTCTGTGGTGTTGGTGGTATGGTTGCTGCAGTATGCCACTGAACAAAACAATGGCGGTTTAGACAGGCTGTCGTCGACACGTTTCGAACAGCGGAGATGGGTAATAGGTATGAGAAAAGCTATCCTATTACAAGAAAGCTTTCCCTGAGGTCTACAGTGTTATATCCAGTGGGATTTTTTCAGGCTTTGTCATTATATGAAATGTAGAATTATACATATAAAGTTTACTGTCGCAAGAGGTACTTCACTTCAGATGTCATGCGATGCAGAACTGCACAGCAGTTCTTGGCCCTAGTATTCTATCGATAAGTGTCGGCTTTATAGTCTTTTCGTTGACATAATGTCCCATACAATTTAAGTATTTAATGTATGTACTTTATGTAACATATTCCAGGGAATATCGCCAGTCCAGTGGCTTTCTGAACTCACCTGAAAGAAACGTCATTAACAAGTAAGCAGCCGCCATGATTACTAACATACGGGAAGGTTAAGGTCATTTAATATCAAAACGAGGCTTATAGGATAGTCCACATTGAACAGTGTGAGAAGATTTTACATTCATTTTGACACATTTTCTTAAGGACTCTGAGGTGCAGTTCCAGTTTATGCTAGTATATCATAGCTCGGAAGTTGGAAAAGTTGGATTTACTTTCACTAGCTAGACAGAAAAGAGAGTAGGCTACATTCCGAACACTTCATGCTCGTCAAAAAGAACTGAATATTAAAGATCGTTGGTTGTATACATACATGTGTTACCTGGATGACTTTGTGTCCATCGAAACCCGAGGACGTTAGGTCGTTGCTCATGTCATCCGCGTTGGTTTCTGTTCGGGACTTGATTATTAACAACATTCACTAAACTTGTTCACTTCCTTTTCTCAGTGAAAGACAGTGGCACCCCTCAAGATTGCCAGATATGGAAACATTATACTTGCACAGAGTCGAGACTTTGCAGACGATCTATATTGTAAAAATAAAAACGTAATCATCCGTTTGATGAGATTTGATGGGTCACTTAGCTCCGAAGAGTGTAAACGTGAGCATATTGAACAAGTACAGAAAGCATAATAATTTAGGTAGCGGGTATCAAATGGTTAATGTTTCATTCTTAAATAACAATTTACGCCACTTTTAGCAATATTCAAGCAATATCACGGCGGACGACACCAGATATTAGCTCCACACAATGTACCAAATTTTGGGAATCGAACTCAGGCCTTTGGTGCGGCGATTGAACGCGTTAATAACGGGGCTACCACACCCATCGAACATAGGATATGTGATACATTTCTCCATAATGAATTCTCAAAATCATTGCTATATTATCTGTACTCGGTTTGGTCTTCTGTTACCAGCAACACTGAATCTAAAGGCGTCAGCGTTTATCATCACCCCCAACAAAACAAAATCAAGGCAAATCAGATACATAATTGTGACATCGATTCGCAAGTGAATACAAGTCACTGCTACCGTCAGATTGTATTGTTAACTAGTGGGATATTCTATGCATGGTTGATACGCCAGGTGAATGCAATGAACACCGAAACCAAAAAAGAAGAAAAGGTGTGTGCGTGTGTGCGTGCGTGCGTGCGTGCGTGCGTGTGTGTGTGTGTGAAATAACTAAATGCTTTCAAACACAATGAACCTGGTCGTATTTACTTAAAATACATAACGACTCGCATAATGATAATACGACACTCTGAATAAGGTCACCAGAGACGTGGGGTAACAGGTGTAACGTCGCATCAAGAATGTCGGGTTGAACAGGTAGATGTAGATTCATACATATAATTACTGGACTGAAGTACAAATGAGTGTCGTATCATATCTGGAGGTTAATGTTAGAGACCTACCTGGACCAAGAAAAATGCATAATTGATCGTCCGTCCCCTCAACATGCATTTGAAGTTATCTCCCTTTGATTATTGTTTTTCATGTTGAATACCACTCGGGGATATTACTTCCTGAAATCTTGATTTGTCAGTGATTTGTCCATGAACATATGGAATATATATATATATATATATATATATCTCCACTGAAGATAATAATATCATGTAATATATTCCACCTGTGTTAACCATGCATGCATGGCGTAAATGAAAATACGCGTAAAATACCTTAGGTATGCTACAAAATGGTTGCCTGAACGAGATAGACCAATGCCATATGCATGTTTATTGCGATAACATGCAAGTATAAGAGGTTAACAAGTTGTGTTGTATTGTTTGGCAAAACTGACTCTGTACATGAGGTAAAACGACAGGAAGGTTCCAAATAGCGCTTAGAACACGAAACAGGTACAGAGAAGCATAATCAGTATTACCACTGCGTTATGTTTTCTAGTGTATTTACGTCAACAGTCGAGGCATATATGATTACATATATACAATTACAAGCGAGGTTATTATATTACCTATAATCCGATCCTTGAGGATTCTGGTTGGAACTGGTCTTCAGCACTTTCGTGGCTTGGTTGATGCCATTAGGGTTAATCCATGCGCATAATGGCAATCACTCGATTGTCTGGTCCGGACACAGTTATACACAGACTGACGTCAAAAAGCTGGAGTATCAGTAAACTTGTGTCGTTATACAGAAAACAAAAAATACATTGCAATAAATGTATTCTTGGGTGAATCAATGTATGAAATTAACATAGGTCAACCGAAAATCGTGTATCAGTTAACGTGTGTTAACATTGGTCAACTAAGCTTCCCTCGGTAATACCTCGGTTCGCACGTGTTCACCTGGGTCGTCCAGGCTTTTGAAACCGAACACAGGCATTATTAATTAGTGGAGGCGCGGAAAACCGCATTCACTCCCGCCTCATACATATCAAAGTACAAAAATGGGTTGTAACAGATTGAATGACACTTGCCATTATTCTTACAGTGTACTTGTTAGGCAAAAAGGGGCGGTGGGGTAGCCTAGTGGTTAAAGAGTTCGCTCGTCACGCCGAAGACCCGGGTTCGATTCCCAATATGGGTACAATGTGTGAAACCCATTTCTGGTGTCCCCCACAGTGATGTTGCTGGAATATTGCTAAGAGCGGCGTAAAACCATACTCAGTCACTGGTAGGCAACAACATGATTCCGGCAATCTCAGTGATCTACACAGTAGAGGGGGTGAGCAGTAAGATCTTATATTAATAAACTGTGTAATTTCGGGGTACAGGTAGTCAACCCGTTCACCAAGCTAAATGTCAGTTAAAGGGGTGATTCGTAACTACTCGTGTCAGTCCGGCAAGCCGGTCTTGTAGGTCACGGAGATAGGCGAGTAGTTACGAATGTTAAAGGGGTTTGATGATCAGGCTTAGTAACGTGGATGATTTGGTGCCATCTTACCCAGATGGTTTTATCGTCATGCCTTCTGTCACTTCTTCAGCCTTGTTCATTAGTGGATGCTGGACAACTGGCCTGTCTGGTCAAGAGTCAGCCACCTATAGAACGCCGTGATGTTGATGGAATATAGCTGAGAGTGGCATAAAACTACCAACCCAAAGGGATGCTTCTGGAGATTCCAGGGTACGGTAACCGTATCAGATGAGAGGGCCGCATGTTTAACCATTGTTACCAAAGCATATCCAAAAACGACCTCCAGCATCAGTTACTTTGTCAACAAGAATTCTCCGAAAACTTTAAAGTGATTTTTATAGGAGTCAAATAATTTGATTTATTTTAAAACTCAATATGAAGGACTCAACATTCAAACGCTACCTGTATAATTAATTGATACCCTAGTTTGAATTGCACGGCACCTAAATGTTCACAAAACAACGATATCCCGACTTTGGAGCCGCTACAACAACTTCAATTTTGACCAACGATCGCCCGAGAAGTGGAAGGCCAAGAATCACGACCCCCCTTCAAGATCGGTACATCCGGGTCCATCACCTGCGTAATCGGCATGCCCTACCAACCGTGACTGCCACACAAATACCAGGTTTGAGGAGAGTGTCAGCTCAAACGATTAGGAACCGTCTGAAAGAAGCGGGTTTACGTGCCTGTAGACCAGTTGTTGGACCTGTACTACGCCCCCTACATCTCCGCCGACGACTCAGGTGGTGCAACAACGTAAGGATATGGACTTTACAAAACTGGAGGCGCATCTGGTTTTCTGATGAATCCGTTTTCTTTGCAACATCACGACGGAAGAAAACGTGTGTATAGGAGACGTCATGAACGTTTTGCGCCCATCTGCGTCCGACAGGGGACAGATTTGGCGGAAAGCGTTATGGTTTGGGGATCCATCTCATACAACCAGAAATCAGACTTGGTGATCGTTGAAGGGAACCTGACAGCCCAACGTTACATCAACCACGTATTACAGCCTCACCTTCTCCCGATTATTGACCAACAGACACAGATTTTTCAACCAGACAACGCCCGGCCTCATACTGCGTGCAACAATGAACTTTCTGCAGAATTCCAACGTCAATGTCTTGCCATAGCCCTCTAAATCACCAGACCTCAACCCTATTGAACACCTGTGGGATACTCTGGGTCGACGCGTACGTCAACGTCAGCCGCCGCCACAGACGCTGCAACAACTCGGCGTTGCACTGCAGGAGGAGTGGAGAGCCATTCCCAGGAAAGAATCCGGCGTCTTATCCGTTCTTGTCAAGGAGATGCCGTGCAGTGATTGCAGCTCGTGGTGCTCATACGAGATACTGAAAGACGCCCCCTGGTGACAAACTGGTGTCTGTGAGATGACTTTTGAAATGACAATTTTAAACATGCCCATTTATTAATAAATGTCCTATGTGTTCATTTACAAGTATAAATTTGCTCGTTATGGCAACAACATGTATACAAAGTGTTAAATAGTCATCTCATCTTCATGACGCCATGTTTAACATACAATAAAAAATCACAATCTTTACTAATTATAAAATTAACTTGGTGAGAAACGTCAAACTGACAATTTGAAATTCACAGACGTACTGGGGAGGTGGGGTAGCCAAGTGGATAAAGCGTTCGCGCATCACACCGAAGGCCTTGGTTCGATTCCCCATACGAGTACAATATTTGAAGCCCATATCTGGTGTCCCCCGCCCTGATATTGCTGGATTATTGCTAAAAGCGGCGTAAAACCATACTCAGTCAGCCAGTCAGTCAAAGATGTAGTGGGTAAAGGTAAAACTTCTCGTTTACTCGAGTAAACACACAGTGGAGTCCAATACTCAACAATCTCCCCCGACACACTTTACCGTTAGATTACACCGCGTCAAACATTGAAGTAAGAGCGATAGTGAGCAAATACATTGATAAGTATGGCCTGTAAAGAGTATACAATACATCTACATTTACATATCGCCTGAAAGCAAGTGGGAGCGGTGTATTGTTGATTTGTTTGATTTACGGGAACGTGTCAGTAGACCGTCCAGCAATGTCAAAGAGTAAATTCTGCCTTTGTGCTGTTCCATTTTCCGCCGCCCTTCGCAACACTGGAGTATATCAGGCATACCTAAACTACATTGAAAAGTCGGCTGAAATTATCGTCCTGATAATGTATAAAAATAGCTTTTTCATGGCGTGGTTCCTTTAAATGAGAGACATGGAATTTAAAGCACTCCGCTAGAAAGGGTAGTTAAATTATTGTGAAATGTGCTTTTAAATAAGACCAAGATGTTTAAACTAATATCAAAGCGAATACATGTATTATCTCTTATACCTGAATGCATAACTGGTTTTAATACATCAATTGCAATATATACAGAAAGGAAATATACATTAAAACATTCCAAACTCATACGAGTGAGTGAGTGAGTGAGTTTAGTTTTACGACGCACTCAGCAGTATTCCAGCTTTATGGCGGTGGTCTGTAAATAAACGAGCCTGGTCCACACAACCCAGTGATCAACAGCATGAGCATAGATCTGCGCAGTTGGGATACGATGACGTGTCAACCAAGTCAGCGAGCCTGACCACCCGAACCCGTTAGTCGCCTCTTACGACAAGGGGGTGGTCGGGTAGTCTAGTGGTTAAAGTGTTCGCTCGTCACGCCGATTCCCCACATGGGTACATTGTGTGAAGCCCATTTCTGGTGTTCCCCGTCGTGATGTTGCTGTAATATTGCTAAAAGCGGCGTAAAACTCAACTCACTCACTCACTTACGACAAGCACGAGTTACTGAAGATCAATTCCAACCCGGATCTTCACGGGTCTTAAAAGTCATGCATTAATGCAACTATATCAAACGAATTAATATAATCTGCATGCAAACGTTCCATATATTATCCCATGAATCAATCGGGCTAAGAAATTAACAATGTATCCCAATGCTATAAGATGATATATACAAGATTAGTCAAGGAAATTTATTATAAAGCCTGTTAGTAACAGATTTGTCATTTTGTCAATGGTAGGAATACTGTTTCAAACTATTGGAATTTTCTTTGTAAATATCGTGAGCTGCAGACAATGTTGTTATTAGGTAAATGGCCTGTAAGTAATCCTCTTTCTTTGTTGTTCTTAATTAAGCAATTCTTCTTCCCCCCGCTAATATTATAGCCGTAACGATCGCTCTTATCGCTCAACATGCTCGAGTGATTGCTGTAGCTATGTCACGTGACATCAGGTGCCCGTTATTGAACGCATGCGCCAGCAGACGAGCATTCGGTTGTAAGGGAAGCTTGGAAAATGGCCGACTCGCTGAGACGATTGGTGAATATTGGAACTTTTACAGTTCTACAGGATAAGCTAGAAAAGTGGCTGAGTGATTATTATGTGAGTATACGATGCAGGGTTATATTTCAGCAAGAGTTCTTGATTGTCGGTGCTATTTTCATTTCTAAATTGGCAATAAACATTTTGACAGTTCGTTTGTGTAGTTCGGATTCCGTTGCTAGGGTAACCTTTAGACGCGAAAAACTAACGTTTGTGATCATATCCAGACTAATTTGCAAAACGAAGGTAGACATGCTACATGATTGATTTTATTTCCTCGTGGTTGTAAAATTTCTACTACAAATTGTCACGAAATGTACTCACTCAGCAATATTACCGCCATTCACTGAACCGGTCCAGACCCGGTTTTGGAGCGATTCCAAATTTTAACAATTGCCTGACCCGTCCAAATAACTGTTAAAGTCTGATATCGAGAACTCAGGATTGGACTGCAAGTTGGGGTTCACTGATCTTGTCTGTGCTGTATTTTTTCTCTCATGTAATTTACAGTGCAATAACTCGAGTTAAATGGTCCAGTTTCAACACATATCTGTTGGTACTGGCTTTTATCATACTTTGCCTTCAGAAGTCATAAAATATATATTTTATACCATTGAGCGAGAACTTTTAATATTTGGTTGTGTAATTTTCCTTTCAACATGCCAGCCCATTTATAAATGTATCCCATTATAGCTTTTTTTAATTTGCTTACAATCCAGAGTTGAATATTCTCAACAAAGGGAAGACTGTATAACATTATGTTCCTTGGGGTTTTTATTAGCAGCATTAGAAATTGTGGTTTTAGGAGAGGGATTAGCCTTGTCAAAATGGTTGGTCGTCATGCTGAAGACCCATTTTCACTATCACCCCAGTCCCTGGTTACAGTTGTGGTATGGCTTGAGATCGGAGTAAATGTCAGTCACTAACAAATGGTTGCCATAGGAATAGTATAAATGTGAGGAAAGTTTTCATTTATGTATTTAATTTTCAATGATTTTAATGGCACAACCAGAGCTCCAGATAAGAATTAGCTCATGTGGGTACTGTACCCACTGTATTTTTTTGGAGTGGGTAATATGAATGTTGAGTGGGTATTTCATTTTCCGTTACCCACTGCTTTCAAATATGTGCGTATTTCAGTCATTTTACTCACCTAAGTATTATGTCATTGAGTAAGTTTACTAAGCAGGTATGTTCTGCCTTATGTCATACCTAATCAAAACCAACTTAAATATAATGGAAATGATTGCATAAAAAATCACTCATCCTATACTGACAATACAACACTTGTCCTATACTAGCAGTACAACTTGATAGCAATCGATGTCTTTTTCATAACGCAAGCGATTTTTATAAATATACTCCGTACGCATTTGTTATAAACTTTTTGCGTATCTAACATTTTAAATGCATAATTGGTAGGCAAGAATTATTTTTCAATGCGTAATGGGAAATTTTCTATGCGTATTTTACCTGGATACGCAGCTTATCTGGGCCTCTGGGCACAACTGCTTTTTCCAGGGTAGGCATATAGAATTCACTTTGTATTTACCAAATATATTAATCCAGTGTCAAATTTGTTGTGGGGACAAACTCATGTTTTAACTTGTTTACATACAGAGTAAATTAAATGAAATAAGAATATTAAATTCTAATCTATTCTGATATAAATGTCAGTTTCAAATAAGCCAAACCTAAAATAATTCCACTGTGACAGTAGACTGTTTTTTCATGTTTAAAGTATGTACGATTTATGAAATGAAAACGTCACAAGAAGTTGACATGTATAGGCCTTACACGTAAAATGTTTCACGTCAAGATGTATGATACTAATTTGTCAGTGCCAATACAACTATTGATAAGCCATTGACTGACGTCATAAATTTCTTGTAGTTGACAGATATATACTTATGTGTCAAACATTGATAGGTCATAGATCACGATGCGATATGACCACTGTGTATTGATCTAGACACATGCACCTGCTCCCAGTGGTCATCTGGTCAGTGCAGTGCAGTATGGTCACTACAAACAAACAGTGGTAGCCGTGGTTATGTAATGGAAGTGTGACATAAAACCCCTCCACGTCACAGCTGATGTCATTGGTGAGATGGTCAATATCGCGTAGGATATGGAAAGACGATAATCTGTTAAACCTGGCTAAGTAATTTATGGTTTTGTTTTCAATTTATTAATTCAGGTGATTTGTAGAGCTAAACCACTTACGGTTGTGTTTAGAAAATTTAAGTGAGTGAGTGTGGTTTTACGAAGATTTTAGCAATTTCCAGCAATATTGTGACGATTGAAATTTAAGACAATAATATAGGTAATTTGTCATTCTGTGATGACTGTAGTCGTATGAAAAAATCAGGTGTTCTCTTTGAGTAGTGTATATACTATCACCTAATTACCTACATTTCTATGGTGAAATTCCTTTAAAAATAAACCCACAATAACCAAACCAATCCCTAGTTAACACACCTGGTTATATGTGAATTTAATCTTTTTGAGGTTGTGTCTTGTTAGACACCAGTTTGCATTTGACATATGAATTAGATCAGAAAAGGAAAAGAAAAACACATTTTTTTAATGTTGCACTTGATGCGATAATCATTTAATAGTCATAGGCAATTTGTAAAAAACCAGGAACAATAATATTGACAAGTACATTATTTGATAATTGTTTTAAGTGGCCCAGTTTTGGTTGATGATATTACTGTTTATTTTATTGGATAAATAGAGATATTCTATTGATTTTTTAGCATGTACTTGTATAGAGTGACAGGGAGGCTCTGCTGGAGATACATGGTGTGATATTGATTTATTGGACTGTTTCTCAGATAGAGAAGTTTATGTTTATCTAGTCATTACTAAAACGCAAGTAAACACTGATGATAATCATAAACATTTGCTTTACAATAAAGATGAAAGATCAAAGCAAACACTCCCAGCAGTAAAACTATTGGTTTCTCCAGAAACACATCTTGAGGTATTGTGATGCACGGTACTAGGGGTAATGATGACACTCTACTCTTTTGTAATGGGTCAATGTCTCTTACGGTGTTATGGGTGCTGTGCAGAGCTTGTCAGTGGGTCTGGCTGTGTTATGGGTGCTGCACAGCAAACTTCCTTGTCTTTGGGTGTGATGGGTGCTGCGCAGTGAACTTCCTTGTCTCTGGCTGCATGATGGGTGTTGCGCTTGTCTCTGAAGCTTCCTTGCCTCTGGCTGCATGATGGGTGCTGCGCAGAGGGTTGTCTCTGATGGCTCAAGGCAAAAGGCTGTCTTTGCTGCATGATTTAATCTGGCAACCACCTAAATCTTTACTTTAGAAATTTAGAGCAATGACAATGGACACCTTGGCCACGATGACATATTATTTTTTTTTCAAACACTAAACATTCATGAATTTCAGGGTATTATATACCTACAGCCAGACTCTGTGTTCATCAAATAAATGGTGGACTTGACAGGAATACTGGTAGAAGCATTAGTTAGTTCACACACACAAAGATGATATAGAAACATTCCATTCCTACTGAATTCAATTTCTCAGCTGCTTCCTGGAAGTTTACTGAAAACCTACAGCAATCAATAAGGAGGTCTAAGGTTCTGACATGCCGGGAAAATCAATGCTGCTTCCCATGCAGTCATCACCGAGACGTCACAAGCCACTGCATCAGTGCGGGAGTCATTGTCCTCCGATACAGGCATTGTACTGGCACTGGTGCATCTATATTTCATGTATACACCAGCCATTCCTAATGTCGTGGTGTTGCTAAGATCAGTGCATCATGATGCCATGTGTCATCTTTATTTTGGAATAGGTATATGACCTTCCAATAAATGGATATGTCTGTATATAATTATTGTTGATTTAAAGGCAGTTTCCAATGCATTAGGAAATATAGGGCTATGATTTCCGTGAGGGGTTTTACTCTTGAAGGATCCTCAGAATATTTCATATAAACTAAGACTTCATTTGAAGATCTATGAAACGTTTATTGGCACTAGCCAAAATAATGATAACAGTTATTATCTTACCTCACACATAAATGTTGCTTTCTGATTGGCTGAGCGCTCTTCTATTATTTTCAATGTACCCCGCTTACAAGCAAGTAACATTTCAATGTACCCTGCTGTCAATGGCAACTCATTTGGTATTTCGTGGTAGTAATTCTTTATCTTGAATAACATTGAATCACGTATGATGTACGGAAATTACCGATGTTTTGCGAATGCAAATCAATGGAAGGGAGATAACTCTAAATCTGTTTTTCTTGTCAGCCAAATCTAGCAATGGCTACAAAAAGATTTGTACCTGTGCTTCAAACAATTCAAAATTAACATTAAGATGTTCGGCAAGATAAATCGTTGTTCACTGGTCCCTTGGGGCCCATGGGTTGATGATATGCCCTTGACCAGTGTTCTTATACCCCTGCCTCCTTGGTGCCTGAACCAGTGATACAACTTATGAATGCCCCTTAAAAGCCTTAACATTCTAATACCCTACAAATGAGGTGACTCCATGCATGGGGTGTATGTCTCCTTTAAACATTATGACTGTGAACACCACTGAGTAATACAGAATACAATGACTCCATGCATTTTTCTTTGCTTGTGTATGGAGAGTTGCTGGCTGTTGTGAAAAATAGAATTATGGCACCAATTCAAAAAGACAATTGAACTCAGACAAGTACATTACATATGTTTAGTTCAGCAGAACTTTGTTGGGTAATGAACACTGTTATAACAAGATATGTATTTATATTGCAAGAATTATCTACTACTTATAATCGAAGTTAATGCTTGATTATATAATTAAAATTCACATGATGTGAAAATAAATTGCACTACAAGTTAATGGCTAGAGTAAACTGATTCATCTCAACTGACAAATTCCTCCCATCTAATTTGGGCTATGGGTAAGCATAGTGGTTTAAACGTTTTCTCATCATGCCAAAAGCTCTGGTTTGATTACCTACATGGGTACAATGTTAAGCCCATTTCTTGCGATGTTGGAATGTTATTGAAAACTATTTGAAACCATGGTTACTTATGC